CTATATATGTCAATTAGGTCTAGGTTATTAATAGTGTTATTGAGTTCTATAGTTTCCTTATTCAACTTTTGTTTGGAAGATCTGTCCAGTGGCGAGAGAGGTGTGTTGAAGTCTCCCATGATTATGGTGTGGTGGTCTATTAGACTCTTGAACTTGAGAAGAGTTTGTTTGACGAACATAGCTGCACCATTGTTTGGGGCATAAATATTTATGATTGTTATGTCTTGTTGGTGTATGGTTCCCTTAAGCAGTATGTAGTGTCCCTCTTTATCTCTTTTGATTAACTTTGGCTTGAAATCTATTTTATTTGATATGAGTATGGACACGCCTGCTTGTTTCCGAAGTCCATATGAGTGATATGATTTTTCCCAACCTTTCACCTTCAGCCTATGTATGTCTTTTCCTATCAAATGCGTCTCCTGTAGGCAGCATATTGTTGGGTCTTGTTTTGTGATCCATTCTACTAGCCTGTGTCTCTTAATTGGTGAGTTTAAGCCATTAACATTTAGGGTTATTATTGAGATATGGGTTGTTCTTCCAGCCATATTTGTTTATTTCTGTTACTAAACATTGTTTGTTTTCCTCTTTGATTGTTCCCCCCCCCTTTACTGTCCTACCTCCCACTGTTGGTTTTCATTGTTATTTTCCATTTCCTCTTCCTGTAATACTTTGGCTAGGATGTTTTGAAGAGATGGTTTTCTAGCTGCGAATTCTTTAAACTTTTGTTTATCGTGGAAGGTTTTAATTTCATTCTCCATCCTGAAGCTTAATTTCGCTGGATACACAATTCTTGGTTGGAACCCATTATCTTTCAGTGTTTGAAATATGTTATTCCAGGATCTTCTAGCTTTCAGAGTCTGTGTTGAAAGATCAGCTGTTATCCTGATTGGCTTACCCCTAAATGTAATCTGCTTCCTTTCTCTTGTAGCTTTTAAAATTCTCTCCTTATTCTGTATGTTGGGCATCTTCATTATAATGTGTCTAGGTGTGGATCTCTTATGATTTTGCACATTCGGCGTCCTGTAGGCTTCTAGGATTTGGGATTCTGTCTCATTCTTCAAGTCTGGGAAGTTTTCTTGTATTATTTCATTGAATAGACTGCTCATTCCTTTGGTTTGGAGCTCTGTACCTTCCTGTATCCCAATGACTCTTAAGTTTGGTCTCTTAATGTTATCCCATATTTCTTGGATGTTCTGCTCATGGTTTCTTAACAGTCTTGCTGAGCTGTCTATGTTCTTTTCCAGTTGAAATACTTTGTCTTCATTGTCTGATGTTCTATCTTCTAAGTGTTCTACTCTGTTGGTAGTATTCTCCATTGAGTTTTTAAGTTGGTTTATTGCTTCCTGCATTTCTAGGATTTCTGATTGCTTGTTTTTTATAACCTCTATCTCCCTGTATAGTTGATCCTTTGCTTCCTGGATTTGTTTGCGTAATTCGTTGTCGAAGTGATCTTTCATTGTCTGATTTTGCTGTTTAATGTCTTCCTTGATACTCCAGATCATCTGAAGCATGTATATCCTGAATTCTTTATCTGACATTCCATCTGCTGCAGCTGTTACCTCTTCTAAAGTTGCGTTGACCTGCATTGCTTGTGGTCCTTTCTTTCCTTGTCTTTTCATACTGCTTGCGTATCTTTCCTGCAGGTGCGGGCGGCGGCTCTGCTCTCTCCTTATTCCAATTGGGGTGTCGTGGCTACCACGCCGGCAGGTCACTGGGCCTGTTCTGGGAGCTGGTGGCGGCTCTGTTCTGCCCCTACTCCAATTGGGGTGACGTGTCTGTCGTACCAGCAGGCCACTGGGCCTGTCCCGCTGGTCGGTCGCAGATCTGCCCACCTTTCGGGCACGGGTGGAGGCTCTGCTTTGCCCCTACTCCAATTGGGGTGTCGTGACTACCCCGCCTGCAGGATGCTGGGTCTGTTCCTGGCAAGGGAGGCGACTCTGCTCTGTCACTACTCCAATTAGGGTGGTGTTTGTACCCCGCCGGCAGGCTCCTGGGCCTGATCCGCCGGTCTGTTGTAGGTCTGCCTACCTTGAAGGCGCGGGCGGCGGATCTGCCCTGCCCCTCCTACCACGCCTGCGGACCCCTGGGCCTGATCTGCAGGTTGATCACTGGTCTGCTCACCCTGCGGGCACGGGTGGCGGTTCCGCTCCACCCCCACTCCAATTGGGGTCACGTGACCACCACACCGGCAGGGCCTGATCCAGGCGTGGGATAAGGATCTGCTCTGCCCCTACTCGAGTTGGGGTGACGTGTGTACCACACTGGCAGGCCACTGGGCCTGACCCGCCAGGCTGTCACAGGTCTGTTTACCTTGCAAGCGCGAAGGGCGGCTCTGCCCTGCCCCTCCTACCACGCCCATGTACTACTGGGTCGTGGGTCTGCCCACCTGGCGGGTGTGGGTGGCGGCTCCGCTCCGCCCCCTCTCCAATTGGGGTCACGCGGTCACCACGCTGGCGAGCCGCTGGGCCTGCTCCGGGGGCTGGCGGCGGCCCGGCTCCTTCCCTCTGGCTCGAGGACAAATTGAGGAGACTCGGGTGACTGAGCCTCACCCCCCTTACCAGGAGACCAACTGCTTATGTCACCGCTGGTATTGATGAAGATCTCTCCTCCACCGCTTTCTGCTGACATCAGATCTCTGCCATGTTGGTATCCTATGCGAATGGCAGCATTTCGTTCCCCTTGCCAGGCAACCCAAGCAATGGGTGAGTCCTGACCTGCCCTCAGCAGGACCCGGACCGAGACACAGTTTCCGCGGGCTCCTAGCCCCGGTCCAGGGAAGTTCCGGGAGCTGGAACTCGGCCGCTCCGTGCTCGGTGTAAGCTCCTATAAGTGTAAGCTCCAAGAAGCAGCCCCCGCGGGCTCAGTTCCGGGAGCCGGAATTCGGCCGCTTAGTGCTTGGTGTATGCTCTGATAGTAGCAGGGTCCAAGAAGCAGCCTCCGCGGGCTCCGCAGCCCTGAGCCAGGGCGGTTCCGGGACGGTTCCGGGAGCCGGAACTCGGCCGCTCTGTGCTCGGTGTAAGCTCCTATAAGTGTAAGCTCCAAGAAGCAGCCTCCGCGGGCTCCGCAGCCCTGAGCCAGGGCGGTTCCGGGACGGTTCCGGGAGCCGGAACTCGGCCGCCCCGCACTCCGTGTTCACTCCGATAAGATCAGATTTTAAGAAGCCCCCAGGCGCTGAACCCTAGCAATCTGTCTGCAAGCCGCAGGCGAATTGCAGCCTGAAATTACCTGTTCTATGGCTGAATGAGCTGCGGTCAGTCAAAAACAGGTGTGGTGACGTCAGTTTACCAACATGGTGGCTGCTGGCCTCCTCTGTGGTCTGACCGGTGTGGAGAACCGAGATGGACCGCTTCCTTCCCCGTCTCGAACCCAGAATTCAGCCCTGAGTGCGGTGCTTGCGCGTCTGGCAGAAACTGCAGCGCTGTAACCCTGCGTCTCTATCCCAGCGCGCCTTGCAGACTCTAGCCGCGGGGCAATTTGCTTAATAAGCAGTGTTACCCTCCATGCGACAAACCTCTCGCGTTTGAGTCCCCGTAGCCGATCCTCATGCGATGGAAATCCTTCCTCCAGGTTCCGGCGCACCCCACTATTGCTGGAAATTCCTAACAAGATATCCTTTAGCCGTCCTGACTTGTCATACTCCCACACAGTGAAGCAGCACACGGGGGTAATGCACTCCCCTCGCCGCCATCTTCCCTCCTCCTCTCTCTCTTATAAAGCAGTTTTGATCAAGAGATAAATTAGATGCCAGACTATAACAAATTAGGGTAAGTGGAATCCAAAAGTGAACATCAAGGATGTTCCAGAAGTATAGGAATAAGAGTGGAATAAAAATAGAACAAATGTTAAAGAAAACAACATGGATACAAGACTTATTTTAAAATCAGGAAAAGGACTATGAACGTTTGAAGGAAAGAAGAAACTTGAGAAGGGGAAAATGATAATACTATCATATAAGAATCTTAGGCAGGGCAGGGTGATATTTAGAAGATAGGAAAGGAACTAGTAAGTTCGACTTTGGAAGGGAAGAGTAACTCTATCTGAGGCTGTTTCATAGGCAGAGTTGTGTTGACAAAAAGTGGAAGTGAGCGAGGTCACACAACCAACTCCGACATTAACAGATGTTTGTTTGTTGTTAGCCATGTAGTCTCAGGACTAGGAACCCAAGTCCTATCTTTGAAAGACTAAATAAGCTACTAACTGTCTAAATCCAGCTTTCCTTATCTACATTATAAATGAAATAACATTGAAGGCACCTACCACACTGTACAGTACAGTTTATTTTACTGTCTCTCACAGGGAGGGACAATCCCTTTTACTCTTTCACCTGTACCTCGTAAAATGTAGATACTTTAAAAATGCCTATAAGAAAAAGAGTGTGAGTATAAAACACAAATAAGTGAGGAGGAGTAGAAAAGGGAGGGGGAAAGATAAGAGGTATAGCAGCCCCAGGTAATTAATTAACATTAATACTTTTTTGAATAAAGCTGAATGCAAACTCAGAGTAGAATTTTAATGAAAGCGAAGTTGGTTTAGAGCTTCTTCAGAAATAGGTTAGGAAAGTAATGGAAGAAGTCGAAAACTAAGCAGCAGGACAGACTCAGGTGAAGCAGGAAAGCATGAGTTTGTTTTAGGTCAACTTAGCACCTTCTCTAGCAGAGTATATTCTAATAGCAAAGAAAGTAGGCTGATAAAACAAATTTAAAGTCCTTTTAAAAAGCACTGGACATGGGCTGGACTTGAGCTCAGTGGTAGAGTGCTTGTCTAGCACATATGAGGCACTGGATTCGATCCTTAGCAACACATAAAAATCAAGAAAGAAAGAAGGTATTTATCCATCTATAACTAAATTTTTTTTTTTAAAATTGAACATCCAATAAACATAATTTCTATGAAAATAAATTAGACAAAGCATTTCTTAGCTCATTTTTTAGGTATAAATAATGTTAATTTCTTTTAGACCCTTCAAGTAAGTATGAAAGGCTATAAACATATATTTATTGGGAAAAAATGTCAGTCCCTGGCACAGGATATGCAGGCCAAGAGTGGGGGAGTGAGGAAAACATGTGAGGGTCTCTAAGTCAAGGGGGATATATTCAGGGAAAGGACATTTGGTAAGGTTAAGGAAAAAAAATGAGATTTATGGGATTATGTTTAGGGTAACTCTGCAGGACAGTGGTAGTAAGTAACATAAACACATGCTTGGGACACTGTATGGGAGTGAATGTCTTCGTGGGCTTCCTTGTCAATTCCCAGTGATTTTTCAACTTAGAATTACAGGATCTTATTGCGGGGGAGGGGTTGAGGTTTTATAGACTATACACCTACATTTTCCAACATCTTTTCTAAAAATAATGTGCAGAAGTAATTTTAAAATTAACTTCTTAAATAAGAGTATTAAATAGGGAAACCGTCTTTGAAGGAATTTCAGCTTCTTAATAAATTATTTAAGGAGTAATTACCTACCTATTTTGACTCTCCCTCTCTCGGGACCTTCTCCCATTACTAGGATATTTGCTGGTTTCTAGAAATAAAAATAGAGCATTCAAATTACTGTTTATTCCTTTGACATGCTCTAAAATGGAAAAACTTCTTATAATATGAAAATAGCATTTGTGCATTTTCATCAAAACTAAACTTAAAATCAAATAGCAAGCACCTTCTACATAGTTAAAGCACTCAACACACTTGGAAGTTAGCACTAACTTTACATAAACATCCTTGCCATGGAAACATAACTTATTTTCAAAATTATGCCATTCAAATAATTACAAAACAATTAAAGTTATTGTTTATAATCATCTCACACAAAAAAATAGTAATAACAATTTTAAAACCTGCATAAGTTATATAAACTGATTATTGCCCAGAACAAAGAGTTTGCATGGATGAAAATTTTTTATATAAAAATTTCAAACCACAATAAAATTGCCTTCACTTAAATAAATCAAATGGAACATTCTTTGCTAAATATTCCTAACCTGCCATAGGAAAACATGACCAACATTTAACAGACTCCATTAAAATTCATATGTACATGCAAAAGTAAGAAACTCCAAATATAATTTCAAAATGTAGAAAAGTAAAAACCAAGGTTAATACAGAGCTATATAAAGAAAATGAGTAGGCGGTAAATGTATCTACCATCTTTTAAGCTATCTTTATCTTCAGACATTTGGAAAAAGAAACTGTGCAGAGAGATTTGGGGTGGGAAGAGGCAAGTGAGTCTTTGTCGAGAAAATTTGTGTTTAAATTTACTGAATTCATTTATTTAATCGATGAATATGTTTTAATGTCTTCTAGGGGCAAAGAACCATACCTAAGCATTAAGAGGAAAAACTAAAACATCATAAAACCAAGATCCTAATCTCCAGATGCTCACTATGTAGAAAAAAAAATTGGAAGTTTTGTATAATATTAGAAGCTTGGCCTGAGGCCTTTCTTCCATTAGAGATTTAACTGGGCTACCTTTATGATCCCTCTCAATCTGCTAATTTTTTAAAGCATTTCAATGAAAACAATAATTACTACTTTTTAGAAGTTCAAAGTCAGAAGTGATTAACTAGAGATTTCATTATTGAGGGAAATGTTCACCAGGGGTAAGGGTGAGAACTATATCCATTTGTAGATCCTGAAAAATGAACAGCAATCAGCATGGCAGAGTAGAGGAAGAGTGAGAGCACCAGAGCATCACAGAAGGTGAAAAAACTGTGAATGGGTATACTGAGGATACAATAAGAAGTCTGACTTAGCAGGAGAAGGCTCATGTTGGGGGAAGTTGGATGAAACTGGACTATGGATAGTCTTAAATACCAGGTGAAGTAATCTGAGCTTTATACTACAGGTAGTGAGATTATAGGAAAGGTGGAATAAGAGAACTGGGCATGAAGTGATAAGGGACCAGAGAGGAAGAAATGGAGCTGAGAAGTGTTTAGAGGAGAACTTTGTGACTACTTGAAATCAAAGATTAAGAAAGAGTGATAAAGATTTCACCAAAGTTTTCTGAATCTATGTGCTCAAAAGAATGATAGTGCCTTTTATGGAAATAGAAAAGTTATGAGAGATACTGGTTTGGGATGGGGAACAACAAAGAGTAGTTGACATTAAGTTTGAGTAACATGAGATGCCTAAGTCATACTAGCCAGGGGAGTGAAAATAAGAAAATTTGGATTTGAAAGTTATTGCCACTACAGTGTAATAATTAAAAATGTGAGACAGGATTAATTCACCATAGAAAAATAAGAAAAATAACATCAGATAAAAACTGATGAATGAATAAATTTCCAAATTCAAGTTTGGAAAAAGAATCAAGTTTGGTAACTACTTATCAAAGATACATTATTACTGTACTGCAGACCTTTAGGGAAAAAAATTTAAAGACCTTGACTTTGTCAAGAAGCATAAGCCTAGTAAGGCAAGTTGGGACAGACAGATTTTTTAGAATAGAGTGCATATTATAAAAAGTGACAAAATAGAAAAGTACCAAAAGAATGATTCTTTTCAGTGAATATCAGATAGTCTTTAGGAAGATGACTTTGGATGACTACAAGTAAACAGGACACAGATTTATTAAGAAGAAACAAAAGAATGACTGTTTCGGCAAATGGAACCCTACAGGTAAGAACACAGTCACATAAAAACACAGATATACCATATTAAGAGCCTGTATGAGTATTTTTATGTGAGTAGAGCATAGAATGCTTTGTACAGAAATAAGACTAGAAAACTATGTTGGGAATAAAATACCACATTAAAAAAACTAGAATCTATTCTATAGGCAAAGCAAAACAAGACAATGAGATAATATCTATTTAAGAAAGAAAGTCTGGAAACAATATGAAGGATAGATTGGAAGGACAGATGAATCAATGAACAATGAAGCACAAAGTAGAGGTTGGAAATGAGCTACAATAGTCTAGGGAAAAGTACAACTTAATCTGCGGCAATGGTCACAGAGGAACACAAAAACATTTCAAGGTAAAAGTTCAAGACTTGTCATCATTGTTTTTTTACACCATTCTCTCCATCCTCATTTATTCAACAAATATTGATTATATGCATACTAAGCAATAGACAATGGTTTTGATGTGAGAAATGTGACAGAAAAAAAAACAGGAAAAATTCTTGCCCTTTTGGAGTTTATATTCTAATGGAAAGAGAATAAATAAGTATATACATAGTACATCACATATTATAAGTAATATGGAAATACAGAAAACAAGGAGACTGCCATATCTTGTATTATGGCTAACCAAGTGTTCTAAGGGACCCTGCCCTTACAGAACAATTATATGCAGCATAAGGAAAATTTCTCAAAGTGTCCCTTATCTCACAGGGGTCAAAGATATCTACAACAACTTTCAGCCTCTGAATAATGTATCCTTATGGATGGAGAGTTAAGAAAAGGCAGAATGGACCTCAGAGCAGATACTAAATACACAATTCCCTTGGGACATGGAACCCTGAATCATCAACCAGGTGAGGAAGTTGAGTCTTCTATTCTACAATTGCCAAGACCCTGAAGGGAACTAAACCTAGATACCACCAGAAGAAGCAAAAGCAAAACCTTTCCAGAGGCAAAAAACTTCCCAACTTAGGCCTGAGGAATCATGTTTCCATAATGAATTAAAATCAGAATCCATTCATATGCTATTGACAAGAGGTAACCTAAATGAAGGACCCTAAAAGCTAAAAATTTAAGAATGTTTAAAAATATATTAACTGCTTAAGGAAAGCTGAGTCAAGCACAGAAATGTCAGACTAAATAATTTTGAAGACAAAAGCATAATTATTAGGTCCAGAAATGGTCAGTATATAATGATACAAAGTTCAATTTACCAGAAAGAGGCAACGATTCTATACTTGTTACGTTTTACTTATACACACACATACAAACACACACACTTATGTATGTATGTATGTATATATGTGTTTAAAACTTGATATAACTTCAGGGAGAAAAAAGACCAATGATAATATAGCTTTTTAAATACTGATATTTCAAGCAGACAAAGATTAGTTTTGTATACTACCCAAAGAATACAATTAACAAGGATGAACTAGTGGGTATATACTCAACTTTTTACCCAATAATTAGAGAATATATGTTTTTCCCTCTCAGGCACATTTACAAATGTTGATTATATACCAACAGGTCTCAAGAAATTGTTATTAAATGGACTATGTTCTCTGACTACAATTCAATTAACTTAAAGTCAATTATAAAAATATAAATTTAAAACAGAATATTTCTAACGAACTCAGAAGTAAAAGGAGAAATCATAAAGAAAATTAAAATACTCAGGAATGAAATATTTAAAATACTTCATTCCAAAACCTGTGAAACGCAGCTAATACAATACTATATTATAAGGAAATTTATAAATTAATTATGTTAGGAAAAAAGTAAGCCTGGAAATAATGAATTAAGAGGACAAGAAGAAAGAAAGGAGGAGGAGAGGAAGGAGGAGGAAGAAAAGGATGCAGCAGCAGCTACTGCTCAAGAAAATAAACAAAAAGAGAGTAGAAGGAAAAAGACAAAGAAAAAGGGCAGAAATTTATGAACCCGAGAGGATTTATGAAGTCCATGGGACAAGTGGAGCAAGAAGAGAGAGGTACAAAATAAACAACATTACAAATGAAGAAAAAAAAACATAACTATGATCCAGTGGAGGACAGAAAGATAAAAGAATCCTATGAAGAACTTAACTAATTTGAAAACGTATACATAATAGCCAAAGTCAAGAAAATGTAGCCTAAAAAACTGATTCAAAATGAATTAGAAAACCTGAAGAAATTAAGAAGCACTGAATTAAGTTGAAACTGTAGTTTATCTGACTATTCCTATTAGGCCAGTTTAATCTTGATAGCAAAACCAGACAAAGCATGAAAAAGAAAAATTTCAGAATAATTTCACTCTTCAGTATAGATTAAAAAAATTTAAACAAAATATCAGTAAATCAAATCTAGGAAACAAGAATACCAATATAGTCTAACATGAGAAAATCCATACAAGTCTATAAAGATGAAAATGATACAATCATTTTGATAGATGCTGAAAAAGCAGTGGATAAAATTTAATACTCGTTCATAATAAAAATTATCAGCAACTTAGACTAGGAAAAAAATTTCTTTTCTTTTTCTTTTTTTGTTGATGGACCTTTATTTTATTTGTTTATTTATATGTGGTGCTAGAAATCGAATGCAGTGCCTCACACATAGGCGGCAAGTGCTCTACTGCTGAGCTACAATTCCAGCCCCGGGAAACAATTTTCTTAATTTGATAAAGGGTATATATCAAAATATAAGAAGAAAACACTGGAAATACTCCCTTTAAGATTGGTAATAGCACATGTCTGTAATCTTAGCAACTTGGGAAGCTAAGGCAGGAGGATCCCAAGTTCCAAAGTAAGCAATTTAGTGAAACCCTTTCAAAAAATTAAAAGGGTTGGGGATGCAGCTTAGTGGTAGAGCACCTCTAGATTCAATCCCCAGTAACACACACACACACACACACACAAATTC